GAGTATAAGGATTTTAGCCGACTAATTCTATAACATAGGGTTAGCCGAATCCTAGTGTTTCGTATGTACGAGACTTGGAAGTAAACAAACCTAATTCTAATATTACCTAGATAGCGATCATTGAACCCCCTGCGATACCCTTGATGCCCAACATTTGTCTCTCATAGTTTTCTTATGTTATTTACTTGCTTTCTGCTTTGCTTTCTTATTGCTTTCTCATTTACTTTTACTTGCATTCGTGACACCACAACCAACTCCCCTTTATTGTTTTGTCCTAGCTTTACTTTGTCTTAAGAAGCTTGTCCGAACTACTTCTCTCTCTGTGGATTCGATACCCTAAGTACTACGATTGACTGCTGTGCACTTACAGCTTATTGATCGTGTTATTTGGGATTTTTAAAACCTGATATATGTGTCCCACACGACCGTAGGACATCAAAGTGTTTGTGTAATAGAGTAAGAGACAAAATAATATATCAAAGACCAAAGTATTCCGTGTCTAATAGAGAGATATGTTGGTGTGGGTCCTGATTTTTATGAGTATTGGGTCAATTCTAAATACAACGAGGCTCATTTAGATAATAGGATGTGTATTTGGCTCAAACGATTACCCATTATTATGTGTCTATCCATTCGATGTGCATGTCGATTATTGAATATGTACATTGAATTTTCATGTATATTGGGTATACCATGTTTAGTCTGTACACAAGATTTGCATGTACAATGGAAATGTATATACACTATGTTGGTAATTGTCCACTGTTTAGTATGTACATTAGATTTGTTTGTCGAACTTGTATGTATACTCGATATGCTTATACACTAATTTTCATGTACACTAGATAGGCTCTTTACACATGGTTTGTATGTCCCTTGTTTAGTCGGTATACTTGATTTACATGTACATTGGAAATGAATGTACACTGGATAGCCTTGTACACTATGTTGGTGTTTATCCTCTGTTATGTTTTGTACAATGTGTTGTTTGTTGACCTAGATAGACCCAAATAATTTGATAGTCAGTAGATTTTTATTAAGCCCAGTCTTTTGGAGAATATATTTACAAACCAAGAAAAAAGGGTAAGTATATCATTACACAAAAGCTCATCTAATAGAGAAGAGAGAGAGAAATGTTTATCCTCCAAATTATTTTTTAAAAGTGTTTACTCTTCAAATTAGACCTCCTAAAAGTGGCTAATTCTTAAATTTTCTCATAAAAAATTAGTGATGCTTGAGCCATATGTTACATATTTCACAAAAGTCAACGTAAATATCATACTTTTAGCTCCAACTAATTTTATTGATATTTATTCAAATGCCTACAAAGGCTTTTTGACCACAGTATTAGTGATAATAATATTTCACATTGGAAAAGACAATGGATCTTGACTAGTATATAAGATATATGGGTCAATCCATCATAACCAGTTGGTTTTGAGTTGGAAACCCACCATATTCTAATATGGTATTAGAGTCTGATCCATATGTGTCCAAATCCACAATCGGCCCAACCCAACAGTTGGTCCGTCGATCTTTGTCCGATCATATAGAGATCAATGACTAGAAAATTCATCATCTCGAGGGAGCATATTAGGGATAAAAATATCCCACCGTAGAAAGAAAAAAGGATTTTGACTAATATATAAAATTTATGGACCAATCCACTTATTGTCAATTAGTTTTGACTTCGAAGTCTATATTCTAATAAGCTATGCAATATCCCAAATGAAAAGATGCAATGGCTGTCGATCGAGATCAAAGCTTTTAAAGACAATGAGACTTGGACGCCTATTAACTGGTCACATGATAAGAAGGCATTCGCAGGTTATATAAGCTAAATATGATGACATAATGAAATGTTACGTAGTGAGGCTTGTTATTCTCGGTAATCATCAAGAACAAGGATTAGATAATAATGAAACGTTTGCTCTCGTTTCTAAGAAGACCACTGTTCGTTGTTTATTTTAATGTTTATGCATCTTGCAACTGGAAATTTCATTAGATGAATATTTATAATGTTTTCTCCATGGTTTTTTTTGTTTTTCATCCTTGGTTCTAAGGATGAAAAAGGGTTTGATCGTTATGTGTGCAATAGGGCTAGGTGGCTTACTATGTATCATAATGTCTGAGGTTAGTTGTAGGACCTGAATATTTCAACATAGGCACAATTTGATATTTGTAAAGAAATTAACATAGAACAAGTATCGAAAATCAACAATACCAAAAGGATGATTGAGGAACGGAGATTGACGGTGGTAAACAGAGTCGAGAACTTTGATGATCTCTCTCCTTAACTCAAAAATCGCCCTGTAGTGCAATGGTTTGATGACAATTAGAGTCCTAAGATAAAACTGTTTCTTCTTTTGATTCGCAACACTCAAATCAAAAGCTAATCGAACACTAGCCTTGTGTTGTACTCTCAGACTCGAACTAGAGAAGAGAAGAAAAGGAAGGAGATTATGTTGGTGAACGTGTGTCTAAATGAGAAACAATGGCCATCGTTTTATACCCAAAATCTCAACGTACACAAAATTAAGAGGAGGATACGATACTTATGAGAATTGATTTTCAATTTCAAAGTCAAAATAATTATTCCTCCTTAATTGTCATTGATTGATTTTGTTGTTACAAAACCTAATATTAAAGGAGATATTTATTAATTTAATTAACAAATTTAATCAAAACAATTTAGAAAAATAAGAATAATCTTATGGCTTATAAGCCCATTTTCCATTTTTCAAATCCCAAATACAGCCCATGTGTAATTGGGTTTCTCCTTTAACTTCCGAAGTAGGCCATTTGATTCAAAGTCAAAATTTCAAGCTTTACAAGCTACCCACTTCGGACATCCATTTCTCATTCATACAAACTTCGTTTTTGACATTCAAATACACTACTGTATAATGCACGCAGCGATGATTACATCATGCCCAAGAAACGGTCATTCCGATGAACGTCTTTACCGAAAAATCTACCGGAAAGTGATCAAAACCACTTCGTCAAAAAACAAGTTCCAACATTAGTAACATCTTACATTTTTCTTTATCAAAAAAAAAATCTTACATTTTTTTTTTTTTGTACAAGGTTAAATTTTCATACAGATTTTCTCTTAGTTATACTACATAATATAGTCTTCTCCTTGCTGCACCTGTTTCGTTTCTGCCATAGTTGTGGCTGTGTGGGTTTGCTTTTGTTCCCTTCTCGGGCTTTCAGTTTTGGAGGCAATCTAATGATGGGTTCTGCTCAAGGCTCATGTTTGTAGCTCTTCTTTGGCATCATCTGGTTCTATGGAAATGCTTATCGGTCATTTGTGTGCAAGAGGTTTCAGTGTTGCTTCTGTGGAATCTTAAGTTGCTTTCCTGTATGCTGGATTTTGTTTTAATTCCTCTGTTTGTTTTCCCTTTTGTGGGGCCCTGTTTCTGGGGGTTTTAGTCAAACTCGCCGGCTCTTGTCTCTGGGGGTTTTAGTTAAACTCACCGGCTCTTGTTTCTGGGGGTTTTAGTTAAACTCGGCTCTTGTTTCTGGGGGTTTTAGTTAAACTCGCCGGCTCTTTGTCTCCGGAATAATTATGTTTCTTGCCGGCTTATGTGTAAAACTCTTTGATTATATATAATCTTTCAGTGAAAAAAAAAAAAAATACTACATAATATAGAATACAAGTTAAATACTTTAAAAGAAAGACCATTAATTAGACGTTACATGTCTTCTGTATTATACAATTTGATGTATTTTGTAAGACAGAGTCACCAAAATGAGTTAGGTACAACCGTGCAAGATGTCGCTTAATGGACTCAATCTCATAGAACATGCACATTCTCCAATTATTACGTTTTAGTTTTTTTTTTTGCAAATATAAGAAATCTAATTTTGTAAGAATATCACTTTCATAAAAGTAATTTTACTGTTTAAGATTTAAACTAAAAAAAACGAGAAAACTTAAACCATTACTTAATATCTTGATGCACCACAATTCCATTAACGACCAGCCAAAGGAGTAATTAAGTTCCAATAGATCAAAACTTCTAAATAAAAAAAGGTTATCAAAATTTGTATTTAATTATAAATAGTTTTTTTTTTCTGACAAAATGTGTACAAATGTATTTTATAACACAAAATAAATATTACATATTAATATTAGGACACCAAAAAAACTCGATATCTTTAAGAAATGTATATAAGGACGCATCTAACGTATCCTCACGCATGCATGCATTACGTATAGAAGAACATAGAAAACACTCTTTCTCCGTATAACATACAAACTTTCCCCTCTCCGGACCAAAATACAAAATGGAGGCGTCGTTCATTAGATCTCTACCGTCCGCCGGAAACTTCGCCAACCTCTTGCCCACCGGAACCGCCCTCATATTCGAAACCCTACTACCGTCTTTCTCCAATGGCGGCGAGTGCAACAATAAACCCGCCAATAAACTCCTCACCATTTCCCTCATCTCCTTTTGCGCCGCGGCTTGCTTCTTCTCCTCCTTCACCGACTCATATGTAGGCCAAGATGGCCGCATTTACTACGGAATTGCCACCTCGAACGGTCTCTACATCCTCAACGACTATCCCAAGGACGGTTATGATCCGGAATCCGGCTTAACGGCTGACAAGAAAAGGAGATACAAGCTGAGTTTTGTGGATTTCGTGCATGCTTTCGTGTCAGTGGTCGTGTTCTTGGCGTTAGCCGTAGAGAGTTCGGATTTTCGGAGGTGTTTGCTCCCGGAGGGCGATGAAAACAGTTGGGGTGGTCATTTCGTACTTTTGATTAAGTATTTTGCGGTTATGGTGTTGACAATGGCGAGCTTCTTCTTTGCTATCTTTCCCTCAAAACGGAGAGGCATCGGATATACGGACATTCGTTGATTCATAACATTTGTTTGTGTATGTATATGTACCTATATGGTCTAAACCACCACTTTGAAGTAAGTGTTAATAACGAATAAATGTGTTGGATATGTTGCAATGGGAAGCTTAACAATCCTATACACCCCAGATTCCATGATTGATCTCTTATTCCATTCATGATCTTAAACGACTGATCGTCTCACACGGTCTAAAATAACGATAAGCAATATATGCTTTGCGGTCCTATGGAAAGAATTGTAAGAGCTTTGCCTAGAGTCTTATTGACCTTCATGAATTAATACACAAATCTTTAACAAGCAAGAAGAAGAACAAGAAGGAACGAACCAGCAGAAAAATTGATCAGGATGGTTGTGAATGTGATCCATCTCAATTCAGATAAATGCTGTCCAATACTGCAAAACCAGCGGCAACGCCGCCTTCATCTGATGACTCGATCTTTGTGCGCATTAGATAACCACTCTGCTCGTTAACTATAACGTTGTCTTTGTTCCTACACATTTCATTTAATCAAAGATTATGGCACAAAATTAAGTAGAGAATGAATGAAGCATACCAAATTCTTCTCCTTTCTGCTCTGTACCTGAGGTAAGCACCATAGACACCGAGTTCTGATATAACTTGATTTTTATGGTAAACGCCTTCTCGCACCAAGAACATGTTTGAGACCTTTGGGAATATCCTCTGCATCAGGATATACGCAGCGTTTCCGTCCTCTCCTTCTTTCTGCAGTCTCAAAAGATTTTCCCTCACATCATCTCCATAGATGTTGTTTCCTGGAAGAATCCAAGAAGATACGCTTTGAATATGACCGGAAAAGTTGAAGCGTTAGGGAGACTCAATTGGGTTCTCACCTCCGCCTTCTCTCTGAGGCTTCATAACAAACAGTCCGGGTTTTTCGATTGCCTGCTTGACGATTTCTGGGTCATCCAAGCTCCAAAGCCCCGCAAAGCATTTCCTCAGCTTAGCAATGTCCTCTTTGTTGTCCAGAAACCTGTTTCTCATGTTTAAAGTTAAAAAACAGTCATCGCCTTTGATATATTTGGAAACTGTCTTCAGTTTCATCCTCTCTACAAGATAAATGGCGATCCATTTACCTCTCGAGAACACCTGGTTTTGCCAGTTCTTGCTGGATTTTCTTGCTGCCAGTTAAATGGTAAGCTATACTCGGGCATTTGACCGCTGAAGACTCCTCAATAAGCAGCCTAGCATTCCATTCCTGCAAATTGAAACAAATAAACCAAAGATATGATTCAGATATTCTCAAAGAGTAAAACCACAATATTGGAAGTTGACGGCAACTTACTGATTCAGACGGATGATCATTGGGAGTATAGCCAGATCTGAAATAAACAACTGCGACTGCTTGGCCGCCACTGCAACAACAAACTCCAACAAAGCTTTAAAGATGAATGTGTAAGTTCTCAAAAACCACAACGCAACCAAATGCTTACACAATAAGGGTTCCATCCTCTTGTACACTCCCTTCAGTTTCGACTTCTGCTAGAGTCTTCCTGATGGCTACTATATTGTGCGTGTTCTGAAGCTAAGGAAGAACAACAACCCTTTGTTTGGTACCAATATAGGATAAAAAGTCAAGTTCGACCCCTAGAAACCAAAGAAACAAGATAAAAAGAGGATATTTTTCTCTCAATATACTGCTCAGCAAATGTTGATCGTACATGTTGCGTTCTTCTGGCTGTACAGTTACCATGACAACCGCTCTGAAACCAAGAAAAACTCTAGCTTTAAACAAAAAACCTTTGAATTACATCAGCAAATTGGATTCTTGATTCTAGTATTTTTACCACACTTAAGAACGTAATTTTTGTTTAAGGCTAACCTTGGGTTATTGTACTCCAACCAAGCTTTAGCTATTGCATCAGCAAATTGGATTGTGGATGTATTTCTAGGTACACGTTCAGAGTCTATGCCAATCTGATCCCCATAAGATCGAAGCAATGACCTGCAAACAAGAGGAATAAGTAAAAAGTAAAGCTTTTTAGCTAATATGCCGCTGTATAATGCAAAAAAAAAAAAAAACACAACAGGTTATGCAGAAGATGGTATACTGGTGTAGCTGGCTAACAAGACGACTAAGGCCTGGAAACGAACTAGAGATAGTGTTCATCTCAATCTGAAGAAGTGAATTTGTTTCTTCGTCAAGCATATAATCCAACCGATGCAAACCCAGACGAATGTCCTGCAATCACAAACATAGCCAAATGAATAACATCCAGAACCGAATAATCGAGCTTAACATGAAACCAGACGAGAGCGAAATATACCTCTTTCTTGTTTCTTTCAAGCATCTTGGAGTGAATGTCGAGAAGTCTAGATGTAAAGACGTCAGCTTTTTTCGTTCTAGAACATAGAAAATCAATAAAAGAACATTGCTTGTTATAATCCAAAGCATAAAGATTCCGATAGATACCGAGATAAAGACTTAAAGAAAAACGAACCTAGAGAGACTATCCTGTAAGAACTTCCCATCCAAGCTAACACGATCAATCAATTCATTGAAAATAGGAGTAACATCACAAGCTTGCTTCCAATAAATTTCAGGGAATGCAGTTGGTAGCAATGAAATCGGTGCGTGCATCAATCCAACCCCTGGAACATTTCCTGATTTCTGTAATCATAATATTCTCATCAAAACCAATCCATCCATAACAAGTGATATATATATATAAGTTTGATTCAGATCAAGTATGGCATCCAAAGCTAAGACCATGAAACTAACACAATTCAGCTATACACGATTCATACAGATCATAAATTTCGAATTTTTCTCCGATTTTATGGGAACACAAGATCAAAAGATTGGAACTTTAGTTGGGCAAGTAACTAGAAAACCTGGTAAGTTTTGTCACCGACGACGAGTCCGTGAAGAGAAGACCAAACGAGAGCATCATAAACCAGTTTCTGAACAAAGTCATCATCAAACGTTTCCACATCGAAAATGGGTTTCTTTGATTCCATCTCCGGGGATCTCCCACACCTCAAAGGTGCCTGCTTTCTCAGATTTGTAGGGTTATGGAAAAGGAAGCGTCTTGGATTGAGTTTCAGCGAAGAAGATGAAGGAGAACAAATAGAGAAAAGAGAAGCAAAGCAAGTGGAAGAAGAAGAGTAAGAGAGAGAAGAGCAGACACTGCCGCCCCCACTGCCCATTCGCTCGCAGTCAAACAAAGATCGCTAAGATTTGTTTTTCTTTTATTTTGGATCAAGAAGTTCGCTACGATTTGATTTCTTTTTTTGTTTTTTTTTTTAATCGAAATTGTTGCTTTTAAGTTAAACAATTTCGAATTTTATTTTATTTAGTTTTGTGAATAATTTTATTTATTGTAAAAAGTATATATATATATTTGATAAGTTAATTCTTATTTATATTAATATATATACATTTGATAAATATAAGATATTGTTGTTTCGTTTTGAAATAATTGTAACATTCGGTATTAAAAATTATAAGCAGAATGATATTTGTGTTGAATGTCATACGATAAAAAAAATTTATTTATAGGAAAATAATTGTATAAATTTTAGGTTATATAGTTTAATTTTTATACTTTATAAGGTTCAGTTTTTATAATTTAGGAAATAATGATGTTTAAAAAAATTAGGAAAGAATAATTTTCAATTTCAAACTCAATCAATATAATACATAAGAAATATTTATAAATAAAATTAAATTTTTGAAATTTTGAAATATATATATATATATATATATATATATATATATATATATATTTATGGTGAGTACATTCAATATGTGTTTGATTTTTGGTTTCAGAATATTAAAACTAAAGATAATAGAACAAAAACTTTGACAGAAAAGATAATATAACCAAATAAATGTTACAAAAGAAATTAAATAAATAAAAATAAAAAATCTGAAAAAAAATGTGAACTTTCCTATTTTAAATATATAGAAGATTAGTAAAGATATATTTATTTTGTTGTCATAATTGCAATTTTTTTTACTAAAAAAGGTATAAATACCAGTCAAACTAGCCAAAATGGTTTTTTTTTTCTATCATCATGATTGAAATATTTATATTTAGCTAATTAACTCTTTAGTAAAATTACTAAATATTTATAAGAAAAAAATATTCACGTTTAAAGATGCTCTTTGAACACTGTCCAAAGAAAAAGTTCAAAAACTTTTTTTGTTACCCATCTGCCATCTCTTAAAGTATTGTTATGGCCACATTTAAAACATTTTGTTTTTTTTTTCCTGAAGAGTAGTTGGCAAGTAGTTGAAACTTGTCTTCTTACCTGTACTCTGTAGGATGACCTGTTGTGTACAAATTGAGTTTGAGGATATAACTTGTGAATTTTGGAAACAAAAAAAAAATCTCTTTTTTTCCTTCAACACAACACAACTCTTATCCTCTGAAAGGTCCCTTACTTTCACTAGTTACATGAATTAATTATTCATTAATACTCCACCAATAATTTAAAAGGAAGAAGAGAACAAAGAAAGTGACAGAAGCAACAAAACCAGTCTCTGCTAATGAACCACAACAAAAACAAAAACGAAAGTGGTTCCAATGAGGTTTACAAAGAGACTACCCAACACATATTTTTCTGATCTTTGCTTGTATCGATGATTTACCTCGCAAAATAGCAAAGTAGATTTCTCTAGGAACCTAATCAGATACTAACATTCAGGCTTGAATTGTAAGAGAAAAATAGAAGAAATACAACCGTAAAGGAGATTACTGACTCAGCAAAAACCAGGAACATGTTGGATTTTATTCTGTCTGAAACTGTTGACACTCTTTGTCCACAATGTTGCAATACTTCATAATTTGATCCGCCCACAGAGCCGCCAGTAAGCTCCTGTATGGAAAAGAGACTTCTCAAAGACCCATATGTCACGTACAAGCACCTGCACAAGCAACAAACTTGTAGCTCGCTTGTAGGTAAAAGAACTTCTCCGATTTTCCAAACCGATTAGGCGATTACTAGTAAGTTGACCCAGATTTTTCATCGATCCAGGCCAAATATTGTGTTTATTTTTATGGATATTCTCAGGAGGTTCATGTGGATCTAGCCTATTTTTTTTCTTTTTCGATCCACTGTTTACCAATTGGTTGCAGTTTAGAAAAAATCATCGAAAAGCAATGATTAAACTTTACTTCACCTCTTTGTTCCTGTCTCCAGCTACTACATTGCCTTTTGCATCGTATGCTTCGAATTTCTGAAGATAGAAAAGATCTCAAGAACTCATTACAACCCCCAATGCACGAGAAACAAAATGATGACTTAAGATCACTGACCTGCTTTGTCAGAAACTCGAGTGTCAGTTGTATGAATGCTTTCTTAAGGTCTGTCCGGTCAATTCCGATCTGAGAAGTTGTCAAAAGGATGAAAAGAATAGGGTCAGTTTGAAAATCCACTAGCAGGGCCGCAGGGGGAATCTTTTATCATTCGTTGCTTCAGATCATAATTCTCAGTATCTAAAATAAATTCAAGCTGTTAAAAGAACTTGCCAGTCGAGCTTGTAAAGTTCGGATCTTGACAACCGGCTCAATCATTTCCCAGTAAACACCATCCCACATGGCTTCTCTCTGTTTAATTTCGTTCTTCAGTGCCTAATAGTGAAAAGAAACAAAAATTTAACAATACAGAAGACCATATCATCATCTTCAACTTCAATACAAAAAATACTGTGGAAACCTTACAGAATACATTCTTTCAGTTACGTTTTTCCTTATCGTCTTCTTGTCACCATTGGCCATCAGAATATTAATCTGAAGAAAACCCGGGTAGCTAACTCAAGACGATTATAAAACATTTTACTATGAGACCTAAGAAAAAACAAAAACAACCAAAAGGTGTATAAGTAATACCTGTTTGTATAACTCTAGTGCTTCTATGTAGAACGTATTCTTTGAATACCCAGTCTTTCTTAACTTAGCGATAGCGTAGGCACTTCTTAGCTGAAATTTAGAGTTTTCACATGTATTAAGACATCTGCAAAATATATACTATGTTCTAGTCTAGATAATGCGTGAATATGTTTCTACCTCCCGTATAAAATCCTCTTTCGTTCTTCGCCAACCACTTCTTGTAAAACATCTGAAATACAATTGACAGAAAATAGCTGAGGTAATTAAAAACTCAACTCTAGTAGAACAATTATATCGTAGCTTATACTCAGAACTTCCTAAAATGATTAACCGTGAAAACAAGCAGAATAAGGAATCTTATCCAAATTACCTTCGCCAAATCGAGATTTTCTCCTGGAGTGCATAGGGTTCATATACAAATCCAGGACTTACCATGGACACTCTAACGGCACCCTGCATTCATAAATACTGATGTGAGACAATCAAAACCATAGGAAGCAATGTATCTATATATCAACGACATCAAAAACCAAAACCAAAAATGTGAGAAAAAGCAATCGAGGTTGAGACACTTGACACACCGTTTTCTGTAGCTGAGGTGGTGCCTTTACTTGCGTTGTAGCAGACCTTTTATCGTTCGTAAACGGCAAAGACTCTGCAATCTGATAAACAACACAAACAATGAACATATGAATCAAACCACAGATCAGTGATTTTAACACCTAATGATGAAGCTGGTGATTTTTACCATTGTAGATCGAAGCAAATGTGTGTTGGCGTTGTTGTGGCCTTCATATAAACGTGAATACACACTTTTTCCATGAGCTTCAGGAACTGGAAATGTCAATTACATTACTAAATTACTCCAAAAGCATCAATTCACAGTCAAATTCAATGGAGAAAATTGAGGAAAGTACCCTGATAAAGAGAAGAATGATAGCTTCTCCAACACCCAAATCTGAAATCATCTCCAATTTGAATCAAAGAGAACTCATTTCCATTCCGAAATCTGGACAAAACCAATGATGAAGAAGCTAAAAATTGAAACTTTTGGTAGTAGAAACGATTCAGAGTTCAATTTCACGCATTTTTCCTAAAACGCAATCAAAGGAAGAAGAATCAAAGTTAGGAAATTTGCTTACGGAAGAGAAGAAGATTCTCTTGATCCAGCTGTTTTCAACAAAGAACGAACTGTTTGAAATCTTCTTACGAGCGCCATTTTTGATTAGTGTGAAGAAATCTCAAAGAAAAACCCTAACTTTCATTGATCTCGAATTCCATTTGAAGGATCTCTCTGTCTGTTCGAGCGAAGTTCGACTTCAATCGGCAGGGTTTAAGGCGGAATAGATTCAGTACATCGCGGAGCACCGTATCTCGGTGTACCTCTCTTGTAGACTGAAAATGTGAACGCACGTTTGGGGAAAACGCAAACGCATGTTTCTTACGATTAGGCGATTAGCTAAAACATGTGAGCAGGGTTGCAACAACACAAATGCAGGAAATCTGTGATTTTGATGACCAAACCGCAACTGCAGACACTAGACAGCATAATCAGTAAAATTACGTTCTTACGAATTTGGCTGTACAAAGAATCTTGATTTGTTTTCTCATAATACAAAACATCAATGAACATATTACATCACCAAAGAAAACAGATAACAAAAATGAATGGAAAAATGTGTCTCAAAACAATGTCCGGTTATCGCATTTGGCCGGTTTGTTCTTAGTTCCACATTTTTGAGTCGACTAGAGAGCATGTTTTGCGTTTTCTGTTAGATGAAGAAGCTGCCTTTTCGATTATAGGATTGTGAAAGAAATGGCAGCAGATCGAAGCTTTAACTCATCGTCTTTCCATTTGGATTCCGGTGCAGCTGCTCCAGCGATATAAACCTTTTCAAGATTAAGAAAGAAACATAGAGTGAGTAATGAATCTGGAAATATGAAGGTCAAAGAGTAATCAAATATGTGTTTGCAGCAGAGACCTTCCCTCTGTTCACAGAGGCTACTAGAGCTATGCGTTCTTCATCTCTACCAAACTCATAGAAGTAGTAATTTCTGCAGATATAAAATAACAAGAACATCAAATTTTCCAATCAAGAAGACAAATTCCCAAACTGATGACTGATGGGAGTATAGTTCGAAGCAAACTTGCCTTAAACCTTCTTCTTCCTTTACCTTGATTGTACGAGCAGAGTAAATAGTCGCGGCACCTGCTCATGGTTAAAAGAATTTAACAATGACCAGAAAATTAAACGGATTTCTAAGGAAAGATTCTAAGCGACTTTCAAATATGCGTATAATTTAGAGAACCTGGAACAAAGAGTCTTGCAGCTGCCTTTAATGATCCCAAATCGGATATATCTTTAGCCTATTTGAATCATAGATCATTCGATGAGCACTTACCGAACAAGTAAACCTCTGAACTGAAGATTCAAGAAATGTAAGACTCATAAAGGAAATTTGTTGTGCAAACCTCTAAGAAAGTGATCTTAAGTTGATTTGAAGGGCGAATGACTACACTCAAAACTTCTGATCTGCATCCACAAATGATTTATCACACAAGTCCAAATGGAAATCCAACGAAGGAAGAGGAACAAACGATACCCATCAGGAGTTTGGAACCGGGCGGCGAAAGTTTGCGGCTTTGCCTTGTCCCCATAGAGTGACAATCCCGCAGAGTAATCCTAGAGCATAAGATAACACACTGTCAAGAACAAATGATCATATCATCCCAAGAAAAGGAAGTAGAACCAGTTTTTGAATTCAGGCTTAAGATTCTACTGATCTTGAACTACAGAACACAATGCAACAGTAACTCTTAAACCCAAAATCAAACTGACTAGAACAACCGTTGATTAAGACCTAACTACGCAGCCAAAAACATTGATCATTAAAAAGTCTCCAACTTTAACCAAAGGAGCAGTCTTTTCATAATTTTAGCGTCCAATTTCAGATTTTAGTAAGAGACTAAACGAAATTAACGTCTCAGAGATTCGTATTCATAAGAGATTGGTTCACAGAGATACACACCTCAGGCTCATTGACGTCTTCAAAGTCAGGAGGAACCCTAATAGCGAACCCATCACCAAAGAACTGGAACCAAGACTTAGTATTGGCAATGCCGAGTCTTAGCGGTTTGGAAGACTTCAAAGGATCGGCTAATGACTCTTGAATTGGGTTTTGAATGATGAAAGAGACGAAGCAGAGAGATGCTGTTCTAAGCACCACATCTCTCCGAAAAGTTGCAAAAGGAGAGACAATTTTGGGTTTATTAGGGTTTTGAGGTTTAGGGTTTGGTGGATGAAGAGAGAGAGAGTGAAGTAGAATTGCCATGAGAAGAGGAAGAAGAAGAAGATAGAAGAAGACTTCATGGCTTCTAATGGATAAGAAGTGTGGAGATTCTCTGAAGTTTTTAAAAAGACAAAGGATGGTGCAAAGTGAAGGGTACTTTAGAAATTTCGTAGTTTTCGAAGGGTTATTTAGTCATTTGACGGACCAAATCATTTTAGGCCCTTCAGGCCCATTAGGCCCAAAGCTTACAAATTTTTATGCTTTGATGTGGCTGGTGATCCTCGGAGCTTGACACGGCGAAGTCATGGCGGCGGAGACGGAGGCGGAGTCACAGAACCTTCATGTACTCTCTGCTTTCCTCGCCATGGAACCAGTGGACTCCGTTATCACTCTCGCTAGGTAAAACTACCATCATTCGCGCCGTCGTCGCCGCCGCTAGCTTCTTTGTTCCATTAGCTCCGGCGTTTGATTTTGCTTCTGTATGTTCTTTTTGTGTAGAGGGTGTACCGGAGGATCAATTACTGAGAACGCCCAGAGATTTTTCTGGGAAATTTGTGTTAAAGCGGTAAGTAAATTCTACTCTTCTGAGAACTCAAGAGAAATTTGGAACCTTTATGACTTTGTTAAGCTTTTTGTAGTCAAGTTATTAATTTTGGGACTTGTTAGTGTTTGCCAAATTAGTTTTCTCTGGAAAAAAATGAATCTTGAGTTGTAATAATGTGTAAATTTACTGTTAAACTCGTTCAGGCTACGAATGGTAATGCATCATACGCGAAGAAGTTACTGAAGAAACTCATAAATGAAGTTGAGTTAGAGAATGGTGAAGTATTGGATGAAGTATATGAAGAGTATGCTCTTTACATGTTAACTTCTAAGGTGTACTATTTTCTTTGTTATTTTGAAGTTTTCTTCTTTTTTTCGTAGTTGATGGAAAACAAAACTAAGTTTGGTTGGGTGTTTTAGGAAGATACATTGGTGAAAGAAAACATAAGGATTACCAAATTCATCTCTTTTCTATTCCCAGAAGGTGAAATTATATGTCTTTTGTTCATTGTTTGAAGTTACTATTGAGATGTGTTTTGCTGACTTATTCTATGGATTAGGTTCATACAAACACCCAAGTTGTCCAAGGTCGAGGAAATTAGTTATTCCGCTGCAATGTTCGCTGAACATGCTTGAAGGAGATACTGGGTAGGAGTCTTTTTTATGATCATTTGATAACCACAGATTCATTTCATTGCACTGAGTCTCGTTCAACGTTGCTCACCTTGGAGCTTGGGTTTCGAGCAGGTGTTCCATCTGGCCATCAAGTCTGTTTCTGTCAGAGTTTGTTTTGTCATTTCCAGAGTTATTCGCCAATAAATTCTGTTTTGAGGTTAGTTTATTGACCGATGAGGTTTGTTCTGATCTATTATGTTCATTTCATGATTTGATGGAGCTTCTGTTTTAGGTTGGTTCTGGAGTTGGCATGGTCGGAATTTGCCTTGCACATGTGAAGGCCAAAAAGGTATCCCTTAATTTAATTGCTTATTACCAAAGTTCTGGTCATATTTACAAAGCTATGGTGAGTCACTAGTTTTTCTTGCGTAGGTGATACTAACAGATGGAGATCTCTTAACTCTGTCTAACATGAAGCTGAATTTGGAGAGGAATCACTTAAACTATGATGACGAGTTGCTCAAACAACCTGGAGAAGCTCAGAGTACAGTAAGTAGCAAATAGTTTCTTTTTGCTTTCTGATTCAGAGTATATATGATAGACTTAACCGATTCAAGATCTATTCCTTTTTCTTTAACAGCAAGTTAAATGCATTCATCTTCCGTGGGAAACTGCATCGGAAAGTGAACTGAGTGAATATCGTCCAGATATTATGTGAGTAAAAATCGAGAATTATTTAGTAAAAGATGTTGCTTATGTCACTAACCCTTACGTTCTTATCAGTCTAGGCGCAGATGTAATCTATGACCCGTCATGTCTCCCTCATCTACTTCGGGTTCTCGTAGCCCTTCTAAATAAACCACCAAAAAGAGACAATGGCTCTTTTGAGACTGAAGATAGTGACACGACACCACAAGGACACAGCCCCAAGGTGGCTTATATCGCATCAGTAATTCGCAATGCAGACACTTTTAATGTGTTCTTGACACTAGTAGACCAAATGGACCTTTCCATCACAGACGTGACCGCAGAACTTAGGCCTCCCTTCGAGCTTTTACCATATATGCATTCATATGACCGCTCAAGCGTTCGGCTCTTTTCCATATCCTCCAGATGATGTAATTCTTTCAGAAGCACTTTAATTTCTTTACAATCGAAATCAAAGATTCTTGGACCGTTAATCGAAACATTTTCCAAGATGGTAGTTGGATGTTCATATCGAAGATTGAAATCGCTGTTATTAGCGTTTCATGTGTTTGCAGAAATGTGAATGTTGATCTTAGATTAAGGGCTCACAATACAACTGGTTGTTGCTACAAAACGCCAGTAGTGACCGCCATAAACGCACCTCTGTGAGTGCAAATAAATACATTATCACTCACCAACTTCGATGTGGCAAGAGATAGGATAAGATGCTTGTGAAGATAATTAAGCTAATAAAAAAACATCAATCAAACTCTTTGGAAACTTATCATATTCTTTCCCAAAACTGTAAAAAAATCTATTTTACATGAGTCCAAGATTCTCTCGGCTGGTTCTTGTTTATAAAGAGGAACACGGACAAAGGCAATAATAGTTTAGTTGAAGCGTCTGTTTGGTTTCAAAGCGATCGTCTTTAATGGAGGTGATTCACGCATGGTCTGCTCCAAGATCACTCAGCACCACTCTTTTGTACTCCTTTGCCCAGGTACTCTTTTTTCTTACTTTATTCAGAGATTTTCCCTGGAAATGGAACAGATTTTCCCAGGTACTGTTTTATGATAGAAAGTTCATTGATGATCTAAATTTTGTTTGAGTCCCGTTTTCTGGCCAATAGAGAAACAGTTCTCTGTGGATTGATAGATGAGAAAAAAAAAAAGGATCGAAATTGTGGTTTTAATTCTTCTTCTTGGCTTCAAAACATCTGTGTCCTCAGTGTTAAACATTTCTGAATAAAAGTTTCGACATTTTTGAGTCACTGTCAAACTATGTTTGGTGTGAGATGTAACTTGCAAGATGCTTTGGTTTGAATATCTTCAGAGAGATGACATTGAAGTCCTCGACGAGCCATTATACGCTGCGTTCCTCAAGTCTACGGGTGTTGATAGGCCATACAGAGATGAGCTTCTCTCTAAAATGGTATGTCAATTCACATTTATCAATATAGGCATAGAGGAGAAATAGTATAATCGTCGCGTTTTCTAATAGGAGTGTGATGGAGAAAAGGTGGTGAAGGATATCATTTATGGTCCAGGAAAGAAGAAATATAGGTTTTGTAAGGTTATACTCTCACTTCTCTTTCTCATTTAGAGACTTCAATTTCTTTCTATGTGTTTGAGATAAGATTGTGATTCTTCTTGTGTTTCGGGTCCTTCTCTGCACAGCATATATCGAAACAGCGGCTTCTTGGTTTGCCGAGTGAACTAATGAGTAAAGGAAAGCACTTTATATTGATACGCAATCCCCTTAACATATTGGTAAGCTTCTCAAACTCACTTCTGGTGTTATGTATTCTTGGAGATTCTTCTGAGTTGGTTTTGTCTTGACGTTTATGGGTCTGATACTTTCAGTTTTGGGATGTTTCTTTTCTTTGCTTTTGTTTGTTTGTCTTTTCTTGCAGCCTTCTTTTGAGAAGGTACACCCTTCATCGTTTCACGAATTGGGATTAGGAGAGTTAGTATCGATATACAGTGATCTCTGTCAGATGGGAACACCACCAGCAATCATCGATGCAGATGAGCTCCAGCGAGATCCCGAGGTTTCATTGCTATATTGTGAAATTTTGACAGTGAACTCCATTCTCTTATGTAAGAAGATGCTTATGTGTGTGTCATTCTTCTATTTTCAGGTTACACTACGCAGTCTTTGCGATGACTTAGAGATCCCGTTTCAAGCCTCTATGCTTAAGTAGACCCCTCTATGCTCTTCTAGGGATCTCTTGGATTTGACCGTTAATGGCAAAAGCAATGACGGTATTTTTATTGTTTGTGTTTTCTTAAAGATGGGAGGCTGGTCCTATACCAGAAGATGGACTTTGGGCTCCATGGTGGTACAAGACTCTTCACAAATCAACGGGGTTTTCTTCTCCGAAGAAGTACCCTCAGGTACAAAGCCTGGTTTTACTGAAATTAACGATTCTGGAACCCAGACATCATTCAAACTACAATGTGCTTTGTTTTGCTTTCAGACTTTCCCTTTAATGCATTACGATTTGCTAGAGCAATGTTTACCGCTATACAACATTCTCAGGCGCCAAGTGAAGCACAAGTCATCTCTCTTGACCAGCACCTTAACTCCTCCCAGTCTCCCGGTTCCTGAAAATGCTAAACTTCTTGCTTGGGTTGGTGATGAGATTGTGCCACGTGAGATGGCAAAGGTGCTTGAACTATACATGGATCTCTGTTTGTTATTGCTTGTTTATGTGTATGTTCTGATGTTATTTTTCTTATTCTTGCTTAAGGTTTCTGTTTTTGACTCGGTCGTGCAAGGTGGTGACTCTGTATGGGAAGGTCTTCGAATATATAAAGGAAAAGTATTCAAGCTTGAAGAACATCTAGACCGGTAAGAAGCAAGTAAGAGGAAAAAATCCTGAGCACTCTTCGAAGCATTCTTATTAATATGTTGAAGTGTTGTTGCATATAGGTTGTCTGATTCAGCAAAGGCTCTGGCTTTCAACAATGTCCCAACCCGCGAGGAGGTAAGTATTTGATGAGGATAAAAATCATTGTCATAGTTTTGAATTTTGGTTTTTGAATGAAGATATCACAATGGAAAATGCACAGATAAAAGAAGCCATCTTCAGAACTCTCATAACCAATGGGATGTTTGACAATACACATATAAGACTGTCTCTAACTCGAGGCAAAAAGGTATTAATTACACTTTGACCAAGTTCTAAGTAAATTATATGCAAAAGAGATGCTTCTTTCTGTTTTCATTGCAATCATTTTACACCAAAACAACCTATGAATTTTTCTCAAGGTCACTTCTGGAATGAGCCCTGCATTTAACCGTTATGGATGTACTTTGATCGGTAAAGTTTCAGATTTGTTTCTTGCAAGCATTCAACTAAACTCTATGGAAATTTGTTTTTGAGTTTTCCAAATAATGTAGTGCTTGCCGAATGGAAGCCTCCAGTATATGACAATGATGGCGGAATTGTGCTAGTGACTGCAACTACACGCCGCAATTCACCCAATGTATAAAATTCGTCTCATTGTTTTGCATTTATATTTAGTTGAGAAACACATTTACTCAAATAATTTATTGTCCATTGTTGTTTAATCTCTCTTTCTTTTCTCTTTTTTTCCAGAATTTAGATTCCAAGATTCATCACAACAACCTCCTCAATAATATACTTGCAAAGGTACCATCATTTGCCTGGCATCGAGGTGAATCAGTGATCATGTGTTTTTAGGGCTTTGTGAGATGTTTTATTCTCGAATGACAGATTGAAAGCAACAATGCCAAAGTCGATGATGCAATCATGCTTGACAAGGATGGCTTTGTGTCTGAAACCAATGCAACCAACATTGTAAGATCTCTAGATTAAACATTTTTACCCTCTGAAGAAGCGTACTAAATCTCAATGCAGCGTTTGGTAACTAAAATGGTGGAGGAACTCTGTTGGTGCAGTTCATGGTGAAGAAAGACCGAGTACTCACTCCTCACGCAGATTATTGTCTACCGGGCATTACCCGAGCTACTGTAAGAGAGAAAACGATTCACATTCTTTCTTCTAACATATCTCAGTGACTTTCATCTTATTTTCTAATCCATGTCCAGGTCATGGAACTGGTGGTGAAAGAGAACTTCATCTTAGAAGAACGTAGAATTAGCTTGTCGGAATTCCATACAGCTGATGAGGTTTCCTAATCTTTTCCCCAATCTTAGAATCTCAAATGATCACTAACTAAGTATTATCAATCCGTATCAAAATTTTCTAGGTATGGACTACAGGAACTATGGGAGAACTCAGCCCGGTACATGCACAATCTCTATAATAAAATCACAGAATACGAAAATCTCAAATGTTTTGAGTGAATTTCCTTCTTGTGAAACACTTTCTGGTTGCTTTCATGTCGCTTATTTGTCAAGTTTATTGGTTTTAGGTTGTGAAAATTGATGGGCGTGTGATCGGTGAAGGAAAAGTAGGACCGGTAACAAGAAGACTGCAAAGTGCTTACAAGAAACTGACGGATGGTTCAGGTGTCCCAATACCTACTTACCAAGAACCTTGAACCATGTGTTTGGTCGTAGAACATGAAAGGTAAACTACCTTACTAAATGTGTTCATCTAGATTCTTGGGTATGATCACTAGCTTATGCCAAATGCAGAAGAGATTAGATTGGCAAACTTTAATCAGATTCATTTTAAAAACTTTTCAACGTTTCTATGATTTCATCATTGTTTTTTTTTCATATTAAGTACTCAAAATGTTGTTGAACAAAAAAAAAAAAGTACTCAAAATGTTTTTTTGTTTGCAGAGATTCTAAGAGAAAAACATGGCATACGAACAAAACGGCACGTAATACAGAGGAAAGCTGTGGTGTTATACGATTGTGAATAGAAAGTGCGTGCTGTTTTTATCTCCCAGACTCTCATTTGCTGGTATTGGTCAATGTAATAACAGTTTGGTCACGAATCCAAGTCAAGTCAGCCTCTCTTGTTTGACTTTTCTCTTTTTCTCCCACAATAATGGCAATGCTTGCTGCTTATATTCTTACTTTCTAATAGTATATAAAGTCCTTAATCGTTTCAAAGAAACATAAAATTAAACCTCTGACAATTAACATTTTCTTATATGCATTATACGAGTTTCAATCCTGATGATAATATAACGATAGTGCAAATACAAAATACTAGACTACTACTAAAGTAAACTAATTAAGAGTATAAGAAAATAATATTATAAGTGAGTAAGGAACTTATTAGTTTAAGTAGTAAACTCCCAAATCGATTTAGTTTTCACTTTCCATGTCATTTTCATATGTTATTTCGACTAAAATATGTGACAACAAAAAAATAACTTAAAGACACAAATTAAAGAAAGAACAAAATAGTTCATGTTGGAGATAGTATAACTTTTGCTAATTTAAATCAAAGATGATATGAATTGATTTGCTTTTGGGACTATAGTGAGTTAGTGACCGGCACATATATAATAAATGGTGTGATTCCACGAGGTTAAAAGGTAAAATTGAAAATTCCGAGATCATTTTGTCTTTGGATTTGCAAATTTCAAGTCAAAGAAATTATAAATAAATAAAAAAGGATATTTGAGTTGGTGATCACGATAGACCTATGATGGCTAAAGACTTTCTAGAAGAATATTAATATCAAAAGTAGTCGTCTATGAATGATGGCTAAGATTAGTAAAGAAAAAAGTTTTATATTTTTATGTTTGATTATTCATGTATTTCTGTCTTTCGAATCAAACATGTCATTATCATGTTTTTAATTCATAGTCTTCCTCCCTCTATCTTGAATTTGATTTTAGTTTGTATTGGAAACTAGCTCAAAACAATAACGACATTTGTCTCATAATGTGTCTTCATTTTAAAACTCAAAAACAAATCAAGTTTAGTAAAAAGTAGGAAAAAAAATGAAAGATACTTTTCATACAATATACGATGATGAATTAAAGAGTTTAAGACTATGTCAACAACTTCTTCGAAAGTCACCGAACTATATTGACTTTTCACTTCCCTCACCAATTGGAAAATTCTGTCCGTCCACGTGGCATTCAATAAGTAACACATTTGCTTATGACATATCCCCTAACTTCCTCGCTTCTTCTTCTCCACGACTTCTTCAAACTTTTCAAATATCTCTCTATAAACTTCAGATTCTTATTCTCTCTTTACATGTTACACTAAACCCAAAAAAAAAAAAGTAACGTTTTGGGATTCCAGAGCTAACAATGGATCCCATAAAGCAAATCTCTTTACTAGTTCTTCTCTTCTTTCTACTTTTATCCGGGTCGGCGGGTCAGCCCGGATCCCCCAACCCGAGAAGTGACCAATATGCTTACAGCGGCAGTCTTAGTCCCGCCATGGCTGTTGTCGTTGTAGTCGTCATCGCAGCTCTCTTCTTTATGGGCTTCTTCACCGTCTACATACGCCACTGTACTGGCGCAGTAGACGGCAACGTTACTCCTACAGGAGGAGCGAGGAGGAGAGTAACAAACGCAACGGTGGCGCGTGGGTTAGACGCGGAGACTATCGAGACGTTTCCGACTTTTGTATACTCGGAAGTGAAGACTCAGAAGATTGGTAAAGGAGCGTTGGAGTGTGCGATTTGTTTGAATGAGTTTGAAGACGATGAAACGCTGCGTTTGTTACCTAAATGTGATCACGTGTTTCATCCTCATTGTATCGGCGCGTGGCTTGAAGGTCACGTGACTTGTCCGGTTTGTCGGACTAATCTCGCCGAACAGAAGATTGAACCGGTTGAACCGGAAGCGGTGGTGGAAATTGATCTTGAAGCGCAGCAGCAATCGGCGGTTCCTGAACCGGTGGTGGAACTACCGCGTGTAAATTTCTCCAGGTCGCATACGACGGGTCATTCGGTGGTTTTACCGGGAGAAAGTACCGACCGGTTTACGCTTAGAGTACCGGAAGAATTAAGGAAGAAGATAATGGCGAATTGGAAATTGAACCGGTCGAATAGTGTTTTTGTTTTAGCGAGAGGAGGAAGCTCGAGGAGTGGTAAACCGATTGATCGGTCGAGAGCTAAATCGGACCGGTGGTTATTCCGTAAAACCCCGTCGTTTCTGTGGCGGAACCGGGATGATGGTTCGATTAGGCTTGGTGGAACCGGTAGCGTTAGAGGAAATTCAATAACAAGTCCGACCGGTGACTCGGTACGAGCAGACCGGTGGGCTTTTCTAAGAAACCCATCGTTTCTCTGGAGGAATACGACGCCGGTTCCTTCGCCGAGAGTTGAAGTCAATAAGGACGGTGAAGGAACATCGTCGGTTCAACATACCGATACAGTTGGTTCAGCTAGCGGTTCCGTTAGATTACCGGTTTAGTTGGTTTGGTGATGTTTTTTGCATTGTTCATAAACACGCAATAGATTTTACGCAATTCTTTGATTTCGTTTGTCTTTTTTTTTTTTTTGTAAGATATTTAAATTGTCAATCCCACGGAAAAAGGAGATTGTTTTTTTTTTTTATATATAACAAGAACATTTAATCTCTAAAAGTCAAACAAATGGAGATTGGTCTTCTATTCTTCTTCTTCTCTTTAAAAAAAAAAAAAGTCTTAGTCGTCGACCAAGAATACATAGAAGATAAGAGACTATAAAATTATTTTATAGCTGTAATGGAATGTGTTATCTAGCTTCGGAATTCATGTGTTTTTCCTCGATGAATACGATGAAGTTATGAACTATATAATAAACAAATTTGTTACCAATGATTGTTTTCTAGAGTATTGTCCTAATATATGATTCAAGTATTAAAGACTCACAGCTCCAACAATTAATCATTTGAGCGTAAAAAAAAAGTAAGTAAAATCATTTGAACGGACGAGGTACTCTTCCTTGAGAGCTAAGACCAAAACTAGTTTGAGAAAATTTTATTTTAATATAACTTGGAAGTTGGAAATGGAATCATCTACATTAAAATTAAAACATAGTTACTATAATACATAGACCACGACTAAGTCGCTTCTATACGGATTCGAAGATTACTTGTTCAACAATTTGAATACTGACGCAGACACGCAATTGCCATTATTCTACAAACATAAACATTACTAAAAGTCGTGACAAAGAAGAAAATAAAAACCCAAAAGTCGTGATAACATTTGGCTTCAAGGTGTCACTAAATGTATAACAATCGCAAAAAATATTAATAAAAGGTCCGATTGATAACACAAAACTGTACAAATTTTTTATCTGTTAGCTGGAGTGGTAACCTTTTACGGAATAGTGCAAAGCTGTACAAAACAGTGATACATGAAAGCTATACCAAAAAACTGAAAGTAAAACTTTTACTAACGCTTTTAATATCGTTTTTGTAATTGGTAACTGTCAAAACGGTATCCATATTGTAGTTGTATGGGGTTACCACTCAAACCCAAAAGCATAAACGTAAACACACAAAAAGCCGTTGTTGTCTACATTAATTAGGATGGTGTACATTGTTTACGATTGTCCATGTAAATTTAGTTTTTTTTGGTATATAAATGTGAATAGAGAAACAACAAAAACAATTAGGATACAATCAATAAAATATGTCCGCTGTAAGAAAATTGATTGTTTCTCGTTTATCTTTTGTTTTTGTTCGTTTGTTTGTACGTATGTCTAGAAAGAAGAAAATATTTACCCTTATCTTATAGAATGAACTCATTAATTAAGAGTCAATAATTTTATTTCATATCAAATTAGGTCAATCTCAAAAATTTAGATAAATTCATCATATGATCCTAATATGATATAATCGATCCCAAAAGTTTTAGTGAAATCGTTCTTGTAATATCAGAGAAATTAATTCCGAAAGATCTGGAAAAATCATCACTCTCATATTTTTGGGTTGATACCGTGACTTCAAAAGAAAATATTCAATAAATTTTCATAGTCATCATCATTATCGCAATCCTACATGCGATAAACAAATAGATCATCAATTTTAATTTGTCTAAATTATCTTCATGAAAACTTATGTGATTAATGAAGTAGGTAAGCAAACAAAATTCTCCTAAGACAATAGCAGGTTCAACCAAAACTTGCCTTGCCTTGTAAATATCAGACATTGCATCAATATTAGTTAGATTTAGTGATAAAGTCAGATACATAATGTAACGTAGTTATTCAATAATCTTTTCTGTTTATACGAAGTTGTACAAATCGAAATCAATACCCTAAACTACCAAAAATTAATCCACTACTGTTTTTGTAGTACTCATATCAATAAATACGAAATCAATAAATAATTTTCTGAACTGATGATACTTATAGTAAAACCTCTATAAATTAATAATGTTGGGACAATAATATTTTATTAATATATAAAGAGATTTGTTTTAATTTTTAAAATTTTAGAAAAAGATGAATTGAGACAATTTTATTTAAATAAAATTAGTGTTTTGGATGTTATAAATTTTTTAGTTTTGGACTTGAGATTTTAATAGTAAGAATAAAAAAAAGCTCTTCCAACAATAAATTACACAGATTTTAGATGAATTCACTTATACAAACGATAAATTAATGACCCAAGCAGACTATAGATTAATAGCCTTAGCAGTCGTACTTTAAAAGCTATAAAATTAAAGAAATAAAAATGATACAAATTCAAAAATTGAATATTTACTGAAACAAATTGGCTATTTTTATGATATAATTATAAAGTACACTACAGTTTAAAAAACACAACAACAATTATTTTGTTTGATACAATAAAATTTAAAGATGAGCTCTAACGGAAATATAATTTTCTCAAAAATACTAAAAACATACTTAGTATATAACTTTTATATAACTATATATATAAATATGTAAACTTATATAATTATTATTTTGTGATATAAATGGGACTATATATTTATATAGAGAGTCCAAAAAAATTATTATCTTATTATCTTATTGAATTTTGTCAATTTTTATACTAGCTCGACTTGAGATCCGAGAAAATTATTATTAATTGTAAATGATGGCTCTAGAAAGCATTAGATATGTAGAATTACATCTCGTGCTTACATCTAATACTAATAGCAGTCCCGCCTTAGCTTCAATTCTCACAGTTTCCACACATATTTGAAATGATTTCTCTCTAGACTCACTCACGGTCACAAACTTTACACTATCAAGGATTTTCTCAAAGCTTCATCAATCACTTCTAGCTCTTTTTGCACAATCTAGTTCAAAATATGTGCAACGCATCTTCTATGCAAGAACTCTCCACTACACACCAAATTTTTCCTAAGTTGCCTCTTGATGATTCCTTGCATATTATCATTTGATGACACATTGTCTATCGTAATAATAAACACTCTCTTCTCTGTCGGCCATTCTTTTAATAACAATGCCAAAACCTTTGTGGCTATACCAGCTCCCGTGTGTGGAGGAGGGAATGCACAAAATGACAAAATATTCATCTTCAAGTTCCAACTACTATCGATATAGTGTGCAGTCAAGCACATGTAGCCCTCTATTGTAAGTGATTTCCAAAGATCTGTTGTAAAAAAAACCTACTAGGAACTTCATCTAAACTCTTCTTAAGTTTAAGTTTTTCTTTCTCATAAATCTTTAAACAATCAGCAGCTGTAATGTTCATTGTCCAAATTCTATGCTAGAATTATCATTAAAAATACCTCTCTAATCCTTTTGTACTCAACAAATGAAAAAGGCAAATCATGCTCAATTATTGCCAATCCAATCATTTTCCTAAACACCATCATATCAAACTTCCTATTTCCACTTGCAGGTGTACTTACAGGAGTCTTTGAGCATACTCTCATGATTGCAATAGTTGCATCTAACATTACTCATACCATCAGCTGATTTAGTTCCAATGATACTAAAATAAATCAGCACTTTGAACGCTTCCGTTTACCTTTCACCTTGTTCTCAACTGTACTAGCAAGTGAATATTCTTCTACCTGATTCTCTTCATTTGGAATTTGTTCATCCGGATTCTCTTCATCCAGATCCATCTCATCCCTAGTCATATAGTCATCATCAAGGTTTAGAATATCATTGTTACCCAACTGAAATAATAACAAAAGCTCATCAATGGCAGAACAGAGAAACATTACAACATCATATCATTGGCAAAGACAAAATCAGAGAAATGGTGAAATGGTGATGAATGACAAAGCAAGAGCTAAAGATTAAAAACTACAAGTCTAATGACAAAATCATAAAGTTACGAGAAGTCTCAAGCTGCGGGAAACTTTCAAACTCAAAGACAAACACTCAAGAGAAACTCAAAGGCTATACATCTCATGAGAATTCACATAAACCTAATGGATCTCTCTCAAAACGACTAAATGGATCTCTCTCAAAATGATTAAATGGGTCTCTCAAAATCGTAAATAGGTCTCTCTAAAAAGTCAAAACGAGTAAATGGGTCTCTCTCAAAATCGCAAATGCTCAAATCGAAAAAACTAAGGGGGTGTATTGGACTTGATATTTTAGGAGATTTTGGGCTATTCTTAAAATTACTTGTTATCCAACTGATGATTTTAAAATCTCTCTTCAAATCCTGTGTTATTGAACTTGAAATTTGTATTAAATCATCTAAAAGAGTTTACAATCTCTTGTTATTCAATCAACAATTTTAAAAACTTATAACAAATCTACTGTTATTCAAAATATCACGATTTTTTGATAAAAAGTTATAAGAACGGATTCTAGGCGACTTTTTATACTTTTTTAGTTATAAAATATGACTCAATGAATCACACCTTTAAAGGTGGAATTGTGAAGAATTTGTAGGAAAAAAATACTGTCTCGTAAAACAATAATCGAAGCAACCATGAAGTGGGCTCGATATCTTTTTCATCGATGGCGATGGTGCCCGGATAAATTCATAAGAAACAAATGTCAAGCTTCGTTGGTGGTTGCGGCAACTACAACAACGGAGAAACAAAACACTAAAGTATCCGTGAGAATCAAAGGGTTTTGTGGAAGAGATGAGGTATGTGGCGATGAGATTGCACACAGAAGATCAGGCTAAGAGAAAGAATTAGATTGCACACAGAAGATCAGGCTAAGAGAAAGAATTATAAATCTCCGGAGGAAGGTCCGGTGGCTAAATGGGAGCCAACAGTGAAAGGATACTTTACAGTTTCTTATGGACGGTAAATTGGTTTACAACACGCTTGAAGGGATCATCGACGAAACCAATTTCCCAACTTGTGAGCTTCTTTCTCATTTCTCATGAATTTTAAGTATCATCGAAGTCAATTCTAAGCTAACAAATTTAAGATCGACCGCAAATAGTGGCCAGATCGGAGTTGCCTCGAGGGGTTTCTCAAAGCTTTCGGAGGTTATTGACATAAGCTCGGCTGCGCATGGCGTATTTGTTCTAGCTGGGACGAAGGGGTTTCCTCCAAATTCTTCAACACACCATTGACAGATATCTTCAAGGTTAGAATCTCTCTTTCTGACAATTTCGATTCATATGGGAATTTCAATTTTAATGTTTGTGATTTCAGGGGAAGAAAGTCATCATCTGTGGACTCCCTTTGAGAAAATGTCTATCCCTTCATCTTCCTTTATTTCTTGATCATGTTTACATGCTAGAACAAATGAACGTTGCCATAGCATATTGAGTTTTATGGGAATTTTGATGGGATAGTGTCTGTTGGTTTGGTTCTTGGTTTAATGCACGTGTGGTTAAAACTTTGCTGCAAGTAACTTAGGAAGCGTTTTGTTTATAGAGAAAGAGTGAATGCTTGTAGAGTTTGTGACTGCAACTAGTTATTTATGTCGTCACTTTATATTTTATGCATCCTCTAAACATAGAAAATGGTGGTTTTTATGTCTTATATGTTGTTCTTGTTTACAAAAGCGGTTTATGTGTCTTCTTACTTCTGTTTTTGGTTAAACTCATCTGCTCATTTTCTTTGTATGTCACTGCAAATCATAGCCCCATTGAACTCTTGACACTCTTCCGTTCTGTTTTTCAGAGAACTTTTTAACTCATGGAGAGCTTTTGGAATGTATGGTCAATCTATATGACTTACATGGCAAACCGTAAAAAAAAACAGACACGATTTCAAGCTTAAAAACACTCAAATATTTTCTATATTATCTCAGGCATGATTTTATGTTTAGTTTTCGCCGCATCAAACTGCAATTAGCATTCTTTAAGATTGTTCTGTCTGTAGAATTAGGTTGGTACATGTAAGAGCTTGGAAGAACTACTCATGTTAGACATGTATGATTTCACAAAGTATAATGAAGTTTTCTTTTCTTTTTATCTGTTTAGGTTATGTTCTACGAACTTTGAAGAGAAAAACTAGTAAGAGAAATGAGTCATGGAACTGCTAAAATTTTTATTTGTTTCTAAAATCACCCAAAATTTAATTATAAAATCTCACCAAATTACCAATCATTTTTTACTTTTTAAATCTAAAAACTTACTCAAATCTCTCAAAAGTCTAAAATTTATAAATTCCAGCAAATCTCCAAAAATACCAAGTCCAATACCCCCCTAAATCTCACCTGATTTTGATTCTCAATCGAAAGAACTAGATGAGACTGATGCGTTGAAGCCATGGAGACAAGCAAGGAAAGATATTGAAGGGAAGATATACGAAGAAATCGCCGGAGTTTTCTAGTTTCGATTTTACGAAAATGAGTAAATATGTTTTGATTTTTCTCCAAATTGATTTTGACCTAGCTTTTTAAGTACTATGGATAGACCAATGTCTATATTGTCCAATCCGTTTTGTCCGTAGACAAAGTTAAACTATAATCATTAATAACCATGACCAAATGGACTTATCTATATCTGGTGCATAATTAGTAATCGGGTCAGAGACAGAACCGATCAGCAATTTTCTGAACTGGTGCTATCGTAAACCGGAATGTCGGTTTATATGATTTATGTAATACTCTACGTGTCTCGGCCAATCACATTACACAACGTCAAGGAAAAAATAAATATTAAAGAATTATAAATTTTAATAAGGTAAAAAAAAAAAAAAAAAAAAACATTCAATCTTCTTCTTCTTCCTCGGAGCAGAAGAGAAAGGTTTTGGGATCGTCGAGAGGAAACTCCGATTGAAAGAGGATGCATTCTTTTGGTTACAGAGCCAATGCTCTGCTCACATTCGCCGTCACAATTCTGGCTTTCATTTGCGCGATTGCTTCCTTCTCTGATAACTTCAGTAACCAAAATCCCTCTGCTCAGATCCAGGTATGTGTATTGTTCAAATTCCATGATCTCTTAGTGTATCATGGTCAAGCTGTTTTAGATCCCTAATTTTTGTTGGATTCTGGCGTTTTAGTTGGGAAATTGTAACGGTTGAGCTATTTTGAGGGAATTTTTGTAATGATTGTGCTGTGTTTTGCAGATATTGAATATCAATTGGTTTCAGAAGCAACCTCATGGAAATGATGAGGTAAGGTTTCATGCTCTTGCCTCTTCTTACGGCTTTCTTTGTCTTCACTGCAAGTGTCTATGATTGCTTGGTTTGTGCCACCGATATATATATATGCTCTAGTGTGCTTAGTATTCATTGAATTTGATGGCCACTGGGTTCAGAAGAAGGCCACTTGCGACTGTTTCTTTGAACATTGTAGTTAAATATAAAGATTTTACATTAGCCTACTCTTGAAAGCCATATTGAAGTCAAATTGTCCAAGTTGATTATTATACTCTAGACGTGATATTAGTTAATGAGTTTATACTCGGGTATTTTCAGCCTGTACATGTACTAGTAAACTTTTTCTTCTTTATTGAATCATCAGGCTGCCCTTTACGTGTCTCATATATTCTAACGGCTTAGCGTTTTACGCGTTTTCAGGTCAGCTTGACACTGAACATAACAGCAGATTTGCAGTCACTTTTTACGTGGAACACGAAGCAGGTATAGCATTCCAAAGTACACCAATTCATCTCTGTTGCTATAACCTGAAGTCGACCCAATGTTATATACTGTCTTGGTTGTATACCACTTTTGTATAGTCGGATGAACATAAAACCAACACGAACGAAAACATTTGCAGGTATTTGCTTTTGTAGCAGCTGAGTATGAAACCTCCGAGAACGCCCTCAATCAGGTATAAAGCTATATTATAGCCTACTGCTCTCGTCGTAGCTAAGAACAATTTAAGGGTTATGTGGTTTTAGTGTTGCTGGCTTCTTCGTGCCTGTGACATAGATTGGGACCCTTTTCGTTGATATACCAATATACCATTAACATTTGACATTTTCCGCAGGTTTCGCTATGGGATGCCATAATACCCGAGAAAGAGCATGCCAAATTCTGGATACAAATCTCAAACAAGTACCGTTTCATAGATCAGGTACATAAAGCACTTTCTGTGATCCCCTCTTGAAATACCAGTCCTTTGTGTAATTCTGAGGGTATCTGATTTTTGTGAATGGGATGCTTTCTAGGGACATAACCTCCGAGGGAAGGACTTTAACTTGACATTACACTGGCATGTTATGCCCAAGACGGGCAAGATGTTGGCTGACAAAATAGTTATGTCTGGTTATCGTTTACCCAATGCATACAGATGATGATGAAGAGCCTCCCGCATCATCTAAGGTTAACGAAAATCTCTTAAACTAGGAAAGAAGAGAGTTATATTTCAGGTGTTAAGTTAGACTTGCTGATCTGTATACTGGCATGAAGTTGAAACATTGTTTTGGAATGAATTATGAGCCAAGAACATATGATATTATCCTTTTTCTCTTCATCGACTCTTTGACTAGCTTCATACCACCATTACTCCGTATATACCCAATTGTCTTGATTGCATTCATAAACGGAGAAATCAACCGTCGCCTCAAACTCCACGAGAACATGTACATACGAAACAAGAAAGTGGGAACAAAATGTTCTGTTGTCAATTGGTGAAGATAGGTTCATCAGCTTAGAGGAAAGAAGTTTTCGATGACGAGTTTGTGATCATTTTTAAGCCATGAAGTTGCTTCACTTCCACCATTGTTTTGAAGTGCCTCGTCATACTTGTCTCTGGTTTTGTTCAATGGTAACAATATTGAAACCACTCATCACATCCAATTACAGACAAATTCATCAAAGTTTAGCAAAAGAAATCTCAATTGAAAGATAATGGAGTAAACAGCAGAATCAATAATCTTCCTCTCTAATCAAACTCTTCTACGACTTCTCCTTCTACAAAGAAGAACTGAAGAAGAAGAAGATCTAACTCTCCAAGCTAATTTCACCAAATGCTCTTTCTTGAATCCAAAAACCAATGAAGCAACAAAACAGAGAAACCCAAAAACCAAAAATCTAGCCTCTCTCTTCAACTCTCTAACCATAGTGACACCAAAGAAACAAAGCCCCAAAAGTTTCAAAACCAATTCACTCTTAATCTCTATCCCAGAGATTTTGCAGAAACCATAAATCCATAGAATCACACAAACAAAAACCAAAACTGGTACTCTGTTCTTTTTCCTTCTCCATCCATCAAATCTTCCCCATCCTCTCCAAAATCCTAACCCTCCTCCTCTTCCTCCTCCTCCATCTACGCCGCCCAAATCAGCAATAACAAGATCCAACGGCTGTGTTAAAATCTGGAGATTAGGTGGCAGTAAAGACATTGAATTGAACAAAAACCTCGTGATTCTTCGATACCCAACTCTTTTTTTCCTCTTCTTTGCACAAATAACCAAACTTTGGAACTGGTTTCGATGTGAAATCGACACAGAGAATCGAGATATTGATGAAAGTTTCGAACTTTGTTGTGGATTAAGAAAATGAAACCCATTGAGATGCGATGATGTCAGATGAAGAAGAGTCATTACCGCAATTTCTGTTTTCTTGTTTCTCGTCTAATCCCAAATTTTGATAGTTTGGTTAGAGACAAAAGAAATAGCCGTTGCTAATGCGTATGGGATTTGTTTCTTCAAACCGAACCAAACCAAACCCGAAACCGAAAATCAATAAACCGATAAAATTCAAATTGAAAGTAAAATTTTCTTAACAAATTCTCACATTAAGCAGATACATAAGACAAATTGAGTTTTACCGAACCGGAAATGTTAAACCAGAATCGGTTATTTTAACACAATCATCCTCATTGAACACGATTCTCGTTGGCTTGAGACATTTTTCCATCTTCTAGGTTTCTTTCTTTTGCTCAGCAATTCCAGGTACGCTGTTTCTGTCTATTGAATCTCTGTTTTGAATTCGCATCGCTTGAGGTAAGACAATGAAGTCAATGAGAAGAAGAAAGAAAGAAATTTTTAGTTTCATTTTTAAAATTCCCAACTTTGTGTTCGATCTCCGAGCAACTTTTATCTGATTCAAATTTACCATTTTTTTGTATATAATATATAAATTTGTAGTCTTTAGTTTAATACAGATCCGTATCAGATCCCAATTATAATAAAACCCTTTTGATCTGATCCACATTTCGTAGCAAAGGCTATTATTTTATTTTATTTCCAGAGTTGGTGTGTTCAATTATTAGTTGATTCTGATAAGCTCTATTGTTGTTGTGAATCTTGTCTGTTTCCTTGTTATTTCTAATCAAATTCAAAAGCTTTTCACTTTTGTGTTTGATTTAGAATAATGGAAGTGAAAGCTAGAGCTCCTGGGAAGATCATACTCGCAGGCGAACACGCGGTTGTCCATGGATCCACCGCAGTAGCTGCCGCCATTGATCTCTACACTTACGTTACTCTCCGCTTTCCTCTTCAATCAGGTTCCTTTTAAGCTCCTTGAGATCACCAAATGGATTTGAATTCATTAGTGAATTGATTAGCAAAAGATCTTAGCTTTTTCTAATTCACTTGGGAATATAGCATTTCTTGTTTCTCTAGTTTTAACTCTGGATCCAGAACTAACCAATCCCCGGAAATCCATGAGTTTGGTTCTAGACTTTGAATGTTCAGGTGATTATTGTCTATGTTTTAGCTAATGTCACTAAATAATAGTACTATCAAAGAGTTTGAGGCTGCATTAAGATGGTAGAGTATCCCGCCTTCTATGTAACACGGGTTAATTCATTCAGTGCGCTTCTGCTTGTTGGATTCCAGTTCAAACATCTATGGATAATGTGTTTTTTTAAGAGTGTATAGGCAGATGAGATCTGTAGCAAATGACTTGACCTAAGTACTGAATCAATTCATTTTTCGCATCAACTTCCTCAAAATAATTTTATCGTTGATTTGTTTGGTTAATACTCTTTTGTCCCAATGTAGAAACATATCTGAAGCTTTATATTTCTTTATTTTTTCTGAAGCTGAGAACAGTGATAGGCTTACACTTCAGCTCAAGGACATTTCCTTGGAGTTTTCCTGGTCCTTGGCCAGAATCAAAGAAGCAATTCCTTATGATTCAAGCACTTTGTGCCGTTCTACGCCGACTTCATGTTCACAGGAGACCCTTAAATCAATTGCAGTTTTGGTCGAAGAGCAAAATCTTCCAAAGGAAAAGATCTGGCTCTCTTCTGGGATCTCCACGTTTCTCTGGTTATACACTAGAATTATAGGGTAGGTAACTCAAAATAGTTTCATTTTTTATGTTCTTGGAGACATTTTTTCCGAGTTCTTCATCTTGTTGTGTTTCACGTTTCTTTTTTTTTTTAGGTTCAATCCGGCTACAGTAGTCATTAACTCTGAGCTTCCATACGGGTCTGGCCTCGGTTCATCAGCAGCTTTATGTGTAGCTCTCACAGCTGCTCTCCTCGCTTCTTCTATTTCAGATAAAACCTGTGGTAATGGTTGGTCATCTCTCGATGAAACCAATCTTGAGTTGCTAAATAAATGGGCTTTCGAAGGCGAAAAGATCATCCATGGGAAACCTTCTGGGATAGACAACACCGTCAGTGCATACGGTTTGTTCTAACTGTATAACTCCAAATCCTCGGATCATAATTTCAATTATATGTTAGAGAAAACCGTTTCTGTTTTGCGGTGCTTGCAGGCAACATGATCAAGTTCTGCTCAGGCGAGATAACTCGGTTACAATCCAACATGCCTCTGAGAATGCTAATTACCAACACTAGAGTTGGGCGGAACACAAAAGCTCTGGTCTCTGGTGTGTCACAGAGAGCGGCGAGACATCCTGATGCGATGAATTCGGTGTTCAACGCCGTGGATTCTATAAGCCAAGAGCTCGCTGCGATCATTCAATCTAAAGACGAGACCTCAGTTACAGAGAAAGAAGAGAGTATAAAAGAACTCATGGAGATGAACCAAGGTCTGCTCCAGTCAATGGGGGTTAGCCACAGCTCGATTGAGGCTGTGGTCCAAACCACGGTCAAGCACAAGCTTGTCTCCAAACTGACAGGAGCTGGTGGCGGCGGTTGCGTCCTCACTCTATTACCAACCGGTATCCTTTTTCAGCAATTTTCAATCATCCTTTCTGTCAATTTGAGTTCTTGATTCTTGAATTTTAATGAATCCCCCTCTGCAAAACAAACTGGTTTCAGGAACGGTGGTGGACAAAGTGGTGGAGGAGCTCGAATCCAGCGGTTTTCAGTGCTTCACGGCGTCAATTGGTGGTAACGGAGCTCAGATTAGTTATTGACCTGACTGGAAAATCATATTTGGCCTCTCACCATTTTTAAACTTGCTGACTTGTGTACTTCAAGAAGGCTGCAAATTAGAACCCAATTTGTCAATTTTTCTTATAACTGATGTGTTAAATGTAAAATTGCTTTATTACCATGTGAAAAGTGATTGAAAACAAGCAAAGATTGTTTAGTTAATTTTTGAAATTGTTGAATTTAATGCATTTATGATGGGAAATATGAAATGACTGTTTTACTTCCTCACTTTCGTAAAAACATATACTTAAGCTTTCATACTATTACATCAAATAGTTTTGCTTTCAGTTTAATTACCTCTTTTACTCATCTATTCCGATTTTGTCCAACTTCATCATTTCATAGATGTCAAAAGCTGGTCTTTGGGCATGTTCTTGCATTCTAAGTAACAATCTATATAACGGTAAGCTAGCAAGACCAAGATGATGCAAATCTCTAATATATGTGTTTGCTTCTTCAATTTTCTCCTCTTCCTCAAAGTACTTGGCAATCGCCATGACAATGCTTTCCGATGGTCTCCAATGGCATCCCTTCATTAGTTCAAACGCTCGGTGCATAGCAACAATTGCTTTCTCCATACTTTGACATTTCACCCACCCCTCCATTAAGATTTCCCAAGTCTTGTAGTTTGGATTACCACCTCTCTCCAATACACGGGCGTGCAACGACTCAGCTTTCCGGATTTCTCCATTACGCATATAAGCACCCAAAAGAACATTGGAGACCCTAACATCATAGTTAAAGCATTGAGCCTCCCACTCATTAAACACCCTTTCAGCCTCTTCAAGATCACCAATTTTCACCAAAGACGACAATACGCATATGTAATTCGCACAACTAATCCTACCACAAACCAATTTAGAAGCTTCCCACAAACGAACAACTCCTTCCTTATCCCCTAAAGACGCATAAAGCGTGATAAGGAAGAAATATCCAAGCCTATTACTTCTATTCAACAACTTTTCCGCATTCTCAAGAACCAACTTAGCCTTCTCATCAAACCCACCCTTAATATAAACATTAGCCAAAGTACACAACGAACTCCAGCCAACTTCAACACTCTTATCACCAACCATTTCCCTATAAACCGTTTCCACAGCCGTAACACCAGACACTTGACAACACGCATTCATCCAAAGATTATACGAAAGAACATTTCTCGGTATCTTATTCACTTTCATCATCGAAACAACCATAACAACTTTCTCATACTGACCACTAGCTTCATAAAGCTTCATCATTTCGTTAAACGGGTGTGGAGTAACAAGAAACCCCAATCCATTCAACTTCTCCATAAAAACTTCCCCTTCTTTAACCATTTTCTTCTTCACATAACTGCGAAGAAGAGGAAGATAAGCCGATTTCGCTACTCTCAACGAGGCAGAGCTATTTAGTAGCTTCTCAAAATACTCCTCTGCTTGTTTCAAGCCATGAGTTTTGATGATTAACTCTAATCTAAGAGAAATGTCATAAACACTAAATTGAATCTCTTTTTGATTCTCCATCCACTCGATCATCTGTATATTTACACAACACAAAGAATCTGAAACTTCCATAAAAAGCTTCATTCTAAAAGTTTTAATTAAGCGAGAATTTCCAAACCTGGAGAGCGAGATCGTAGCGATTAGATCTAATGAGACGCTTGGAGATGAATCGGAGCTCCGATAACGCGACGGCGTGACCCGAATCGATCCGTTCCTGAAGCAGAGAGGTAACACTGCGGCGTGGACCGTTCTTTCTCAGAATCTCCTTCAAGCTATTCCGATGTGCGAGTGATGACGTATCCGAACAATCTCCAAGAGTAGACACGAGCCTTGCTACGCCAGTGGTGGTGAGCCTCGTCTTCGCAACGCAACGAATCAGCATTTGGAGCCGCTGCGAGACTGGTTCGGGGCTTTCTCGAAAAATCTCAAACGAAGACGAAGAAGAGACGGTGATAGTGGATTTGGGCCGTTGAAGAATAACATAAAAAGCCCAGACGTTTTTTTCTTTTGGATAAAACATGAAAATTTTGTTTTTGTTTATAAAAAAAGAGAAAGAATTGAGAGTAAACCCTATAAAAACCCTACGCTGTGTTGTTCTCTTGATATCAATAACAGAACAATTTGTACGTGTAGCTGATCGGTGAATATCTACTAAGCTACGTATAAAAACTTTGTTTCTCTGCTTTTGATTCATCAAAGAAAGAGCACGAAATTAAACATTATGGATATCAATCTATTTCGTGAAGAAAAAGGTAACAATCCAGAGATCATTAGAGAATCGCAACGCCGGAGATTTTCCAATGTTGATGTTGTTGACGAGATTATTCAAGTTGACAAAGAATGGCGTCAGCGTAAGTATTTTCACATCTCCCTATCGTCGTTGATTTCTCTCCTTAAGAATTTTGAGCTTTCATTAAGTTGATGTTATCGCAATTTATGAAACGTTTTTCAGGTCAATTTGAAGTTGATAGCTTCAGAAACGAGTTCAACAAGCTGAATAAACACGTGGCTCAGCTAAAAATTGTTAGTTTTCATCTCTAGGAATTTGTTTGAAAGAATTTGTTGGAGGTTTTAGTAATATATAGTAACTTTTTTTTTTTTTTGGTTTCTATCTCTGGAATAGGCTAAAGCTGATGCGACTGAGATTATTCAGCAAACAGAGAAAAACAAACAGGACGCTACCGCGAGAGAGGTTGAAGTTCGTGAAGCTTTTGCTACTTTGCAAGCCAAATTGTTGACATTTGGAAATCTGGTTCATGACTCGGTTCCATTTGATAAGGACGAGGTAATAGTCATGTTGTTGTGTCTTTTTTGTCGGCATTGTGGTGACAGAAATTAAAAGAGTGAGATATTTATACAAGTTTTTTTCATATATGCTACAGGCAAATAATCTTGTGATTAAACTGTTCGGTGAAAAGCGGTTTTCTACACCTGATCTGAAGCTGAAAAACCATGTGGATCTCGTTGAGCTTCTCGGTATTGCAGATACCAAAAGAGGTAATTAAACATTGATTGACTAAAACTTAAGTCACCACCTTCTCAAATCCGTGTAACAATGCTAATTTGGTCTCAGGTGCTGATATTGCTGGAGGGAGAGGTTATTTCTTAAAAGGATTTGGTGTGAGGCTTAACCAAGCTCTTATCAACTTTGCGCTAGACTCTTTGGAAGATAGAGGATTTACGCCTTTACAACCTCCGTTTTTCATGAGGAAGGATGTTATGGCCAAATGCGCACAATTGGCTCAGTTTGATGAAGAGCTTTACAAGGTCTTTAATCGTTACAAAAAGAATTTGCTTAATTATGTTGTTAAGACTAGTTTTTGAGGTTTGATTCTTGTTTTTGTTGATCAGGTGACTGGTGAAGGAGATGACAAGTTTCTTATTGCAACTGCTGAGCAACCTCTTTGTGCATACCATCGTAATCAAACGATCCATCCGTCCGAGCTTCCCAAAAGATATGCTGGTTACTCGACCTGTTTTAGAAAAGAAGCTGGTTCTCATGGAAGAGATACACTTGGCATTTTCCGTGTTCACCAGTTTGAGAAAGTTGAACAGTTTTGCATCACGGCTCCTAATGATTCGTGGGCAATGCTCGAAGAGATGTTAAAGAACTCGGAAGAATTTTACCAAGCGGTATGTAATTTTAAGTTAAGAATACCTTAGGAAAAGTTTTTCAAAAGTTTTCTAATTGTTAATAATGATTAATGCCTCTGCAGCTTAAAATTCCATACCGAGTCGTTTCGGTTGTCTCTGGAGCTTTGAACGATGCAGCGGCTAAAAAGTATGACCTGGAAGGATGGTTTCCTGCTTCAGAGACTTACAGAGAGCTTGTGTCCTGTTCCAACTGTACAGACTATCAGTCTCGAAGGCTTGATATTAGATATGGTCAGAATAAGAGCAAAGATCAGACGAAGCAGTATGTTCATATGTTGAATTCGACTCTTACCGCAACAGAGAGGACAATTTGCTGCATTCTTGAGAACTACCAGCGAGAGGATGGTGTTGATATTCCTGACGTTCTGCAGCCTTATATGGGCGGCAAGAAGTTTATGCCTTTCAAAAGATGAAGTCTTGTTCCACAAGTCCCGCAAATGATAAAATGCAGATTTTCTTTAATTTAGTTTCCATTTGTTTATTTGTTAAAAAACACTTCTTGTATTTGGTTTTCAATAAAATTTTAACTTAATTTATTGTCGATGTACTCGAATTTAAGGCACTAATTAACTTCCAATGATATGGCCATCGTTTTGACAAAACACTTGTTTTGAAGACATCTTTTGATGAAAACAATGAAAGTGTCGGGCAACAAACTGATACGGTCCATATAGAGTGCTCTCCAAGCTTTTAATCCAATGATTATTTTGCTGTCAACACATAGAGATGAAAACCCTAAATAGGAAACATAAACGAGGAGACCATGTTTTACAAGCTTTCTAAAGTTCACTGGAAAAACATGGTTTTGCTTTCCCAGGAACCATTAAAAACCCCATAAAAAGTTGTAGTGGTCTACAAGAAACCAAATTTTATTCCAGAGAGATTGAAATAAACCCTAGAAAATCATCCATCAGATATTTAAATGGGCTAAATAGATTAGGCTAAGTAGTAACCCTTGAATCCACTCAAAATTTTAAATGAAACGGATCAATCTATAAATACATTTTGTTAATCTTATGGATGAACTAGTTAAATCAATCCATGAATACATGAAATTAATTATTAATAATTTAATCATCAAATTTAGTAATAATATATAAAAAAAATGTTCAGAGTCATACATTGTTCGGAAAATTAAAAACTTTGGTTTCAGTAAGAAAATTTGGGATTTTTACTTTTTGGAGATTTTGTTAAAATTATATTTGTTTGGGATAAATTCGCTCCTCTAATTTGATTGAATTATCTATTTCCACATGCTCGTCGAAACTCTTAAAGAGTTTGGGTCTATCCGGTTTGGATAGTTCTTTTTAGGAACTTTTAGAACTCGTTGCATTTTGTCTCTATAAGGATTTAGACTCATACTAGTTTAGTAGTTTTGTGTTCTTCCATGTTTAATCAACAAAATCTTTAGACACAAACAAAAAAAACCTCAAACCCTTATTTTTGAGGTTTTATGTATTCCGAAAACAATCTCCAAATTTCAAAACCTCCAATTTGAGGTAGTATGTTTTTATTTTATTTTCGTTCTTACAATCATAAATCTCACAAGATGTTACTAAAAAAATTTGTTTATCATTTTAATTC